CTTTCTAGAATTTAATATCATAAATTATATGTTCCTTGTTTGTAGATAATAGTATTTAAAACAGTACTTGGTTCCTGGCATGTTATGCTGGCTGCTATTGCTGCTCTTAATTTTTTATTACCATTATTAGCTCTAGATTGTTTTTTGCTCATTTATATCAGTTAAGGAATAAGCAGAAAACTAAAAAGCAGTTTGGTTCTTACATATTTCTGGTGTGCGCGCACACACACGCACACTTGCGCCCGTGTGCAAGCAAACACACATGCACACCCTGAAGAGCTTTGCAAAATATTCTGTTAATGCAGCATGAGGTCGATGCAGTACGGTTGTTGCATTATCTTCCTCCTCCTCATCCTTATTTTACACAAGTTTAAAGTTTAAATTCTTTCGTGGGAATTGCAGACTTACTAACAGAAGTCCTTATTTTGGCCCAGACCTCCTTAGCGTTTTTCTTGGGAGATGACGCACAGAGATACTTGTCATGCTGGAGATCAGTCACAGGGCCTTGCACATGCTGGGCAAGTACTCTCCCATCGTTAGCCATCGTTAGCCAACGGTAGCCATCGTTGCACTGTGTGCTGTACTTTGGTGATTTTCCACAATGAGGAGAACGGGTCCTGTAAGGAAACTATCACCTGTTTACTTTTCTCAGGGGTTAGTTTGTGTGTAGTGGGAGGCTGGATAGAGTCTCTCACTGTCTTGTCTGTACCTGGTCTAAGGTAAATTGGGATATAATCTCAGAGCCTATCAGAAACACCTCAAATGACTCGCCCTTGTTTTCTGGTTGACATAAATTTAAGTAGAAAAGCTCATGGCATGTCCTTATATCTCTGCCATATACCTAGTCTATCATCTTTTCAGCCTAGCCTCCAAATAAGAATAAATTTGATTCCAGAATAGAAGTGACCATGTTTGTCATTACTTAGCCTTGATCAACCTTTTCTATTGAAGAAGAATTGGTGTTAAGTCTGTCTGTCTTCCTGCTCTCCCACCGCTGACCCTCCCGTCTCTTTTCTCTATCATTTCTCTGTCTCCTTTTATGAGATGCACAGTCTCAATCTCTCAGGTTCTCTGGGTCATATCTGGTAATTCACATATGAGCTGAATAAAATTGTTTCACCTGGAGCTAGACACAGATAAAACAATGAATGGGATGTCTTGGGTGTCAGTGACTCCTTTACAGTTCTGTCTTATTTTCTTATTCTTCTGTCTAAAGCTCTGTTAGATCTTTCTGAAGGAGTAAATATAATCCCAACACTACAAGTTCTGTGCAGTGGACATCTAACTCATTGCAAGGAGTGCTTGTCCTCCTCCTATTTTTGTGATTATTTCTTTTTTGCTTTTTCTTAACATATTTTTAAATAGTTTTTCACCCTTGAGGAAAATATTTTTAAAGGAATCAGGGACATTTTCTTGGCCATTGAAGATTTAGGGGGAAAGAAAAAAGTGGTATTAGCATGACCACTAAATGTAGCTAGAAGAGTGGACTTTATTTTATCAGCCCAAGAATTACTTGCTGTAAGAAAAATTACTTCTTTTTCTTGGTTTCTTTTTTTGTTTGTTTGGTTTTGCATCTATTTTTATTGGGATTTTTTATTTATTATAATTTATTCACTTTGTAATCCAGCTGTAGGCCCACCCTTGTCCCCTCCTTCATTTCCTCCCATGCCCCTTCCCCAGTCCACTGATAGGGGAGGACCTCCCCCGCTTCCATCTGACCCTAGCCTATCAGGTCTGTCTTTCAGAGTCTTCCTCTGTGGCCTGGTAAGGCTGCCCCACCCCCTTCAGGGGAGGTGATCCAAGAGCCAGCCACTGAGTTCCTGTCAGAGACAGCCCCTGTTCCCCTTACCAGGGAACCCATTTAGAGATTGGGCTTCCACAGGCTACATCTGTGCGGGGGTTCTAGGTTGTCTTCTTGGTCCCTTTTTTAAAGATTATTTTATTTCATGTGTATGGGTGTTTTGCTTGCATGCACAGATATTTGCACCACGTGCATACCTAGTGGGATGGATCTCCTCAAATTGGAGTTACAGATATTTGTGAGCTGCCATGTGGGTGCTGGGAATTGAATCCAGATCCTCTAGAGGAGCACCCAGTGCTCTTAACCACTGAGCCATCTACCTCTCTGTGTATATGTGTATGTGTGTCTCTCCTCCCTCCTTCCCTCTCCCTCATCCTTTTCTCTCTCTTCTTATATAGCTTTGGTCTGGCCAGCCTGGAACTCACTATGTAGACTAGGCTAGCCTTGAACTCAGAGTGAAGGGATTAAAAGCACATGTCACCTTGCCCTGCAAATTCTATTTTATTCATGGTTACCTTATAGGAATTGTAAAATTATTTTATAATAATTTGATATATAATGTATTTAGTATAGAAACAAGACCAGAATAATATAATTCACACTGTTTGTTTTGAAAATCATATAAAATCATATGGGTGTCAACTTGGTGTCATTTAAATAAATAACTACCCAAGCCAGCCATGGTGGTGCATGCCTTTAATCCCAGCACTCAGAGAGGCAGAGGCAGGTGGATCTCTGTGAGTTCTAGGTCAGCCTGGTCTACAGAGTGAGTCCAAGACAGCCAAGGCTACACAGAGAAACCCTGTCTAGAAAAAAATAAGTAAATAAATAAACAAAAATTTAAAAAAGAAATGCTACCCAGATGTTCACACAGCACACACACACAGGAAGTAAAGTGCCTTGCTTCCTTTCTCTCCACCCCTACTCCAGCATAGGTTCTGGTTCACTCTTCTGCAGGGCCTCAGCTCTGTTGCTCTTGTGCTTTTCACAGTCCTCTATTGATTAGCGCTGAGGGTGTTTGTTAGAAACAGCGTTGCAGTGATCTCCCTTCGCATGTGAGTACACAAACGTGAGTAGATCTGTAGGCTCCCGCTTGTGGGGGAACTATTGACTCAGAGAGCATGTGGCTTTTTAGTTTTCATCTACACTGCCGACCTTCATTAAAAGTTGTAACAATTTGTGTTCCTTACTCTTCCTTCTACTTTCCCCTCACATTAAAAAGAAAAAAAAAAGTATTCCTGCCAGTATGCATTCACAGCAAGAGACAGTTTCTCCACCCCTTCTCAAACGGCCTGCTATCATGCTTTTTTCTATTTTATTTTTTTTAAGGGAGGGTCTCTGTCTTCATAGACCTGTCCTCATCTATCACTAAGTAGACCACACTGTTGTAGAACCCACAAGATCTCCCTGCCTGTGCCTCCCGAGTGCTGGGAGTAGATGCTTGTGCCGCACTGCTCTACCTCAGATTTTCCACCTTCAGATTTCTTTTTTGAAGGAAAAAAAAAGTTATCTCTTTAGGTAATGTAATGGGGTTTTTGTTGTTGTTGATTTTGGGAGACTAGAGCATGGTTTCAGTCATTCTAATTTCCTTTTCTAGTAACTGTCTATGACCCTTTGAAGTATCTTTCAAGTTTTTTATTCATCTTTGACTTTGTACCTTTCCCCTCATGGAAGTCTGTTTTCATACCAGATTTGTCAGACTTAAATTTTGACCTCTGGTCTTTGTAGCATTATTGGGTATATTTTACTCCACGCGCATTTGCTAGTACTGTTTTTGTTTTTTTTCATGTTTAACTCTGATTCATTATGGATTAAAATTGATTCAAGTTGTGGTTTGTTTATTTGTTTTTGTTTTTGTTTTTTTTCCCCTGAGTACCAGTTGTTTCAAGAACATTTGTCAAATAATCAATTTGGAAGTGACATCCTTTGCCATGCTGAAGTCCTGAGTATTGTATAGTGTGTCTGAGTTAAAAAAATGAATAATAAATACTTGAAACCCTAAATACATGTTGTTTAGATAATGTATAAGATGAAGGAAAGGGGAAGGGAGCCTCAGCTTTGTGCTTCTTCCTAGTGAATTTGAGAAGTGAGTTTGGTCAGATCTAGGAGTTAAGCTAATGGAGTCATTGTTTCATATAAATAGCTACATTTGCTTCAAGAACATACTCTTTTCTGGCACTTACTATATAGTGTTAACACCAAGACATGCCCAGCACAGTGGGCCACCTGTAATCCCAGCACTCGGGAAGGCAGAGGCAACCAGATCTCTTGAGTTTGAAGCCAGTGTGGTCTACAAGGCTGCACAGAGAAACCCTGTCTCGAAAAATCAAAGGGGAAAAAATAGTCTTTGTATACAACATACTTTTATAAATAAGAATTAATCTTCAGTTGTATTTACTTTAAGTGTTTAAACTGATGCTGGAATGATTGTCCTCAAAAGTTATTATTAAGGTTATTATAATATTGCATCTCGGAGCATCGTATAGAGGAGGAAGTCAATAGTAGGCTCTCTGTTCCTGCTACTGTGCTGCTCTGTCAGTATAAGAGAAATAATTCTAGATTGTGTCAAAAGGCAGAACATTAACAAGGTAGGCAGACACAAAGTCAGTTTTCCTGAAGTGGTTTCACTCAGCCTCAGAGAAAGCATACCCACTGTAGTCCTCGCTCTCATGGATTTAGCTATATTTTACTTATCACAACATCTCTGCTTACTTTGAGGTGTTATCAGTGCAGTAACGATTATGTTTCATCCTGTTTAAGATGTCTATATAAAGGTATCAGGTTTGGGCTTGTTTGTTTTTGTTTGTTTGTTTTGTTTGTCTGATTTCCTGACAAGGTGCACAGGCAGTGATGTTTTTGTTGGGTTTTAGATACACACACACTGGTCTTGTTTTGTGTCACTGACAGCCCACAGAGTTGGCCACTGTGTGCTGAACTTTCTGTTCTAGACTCTCTGCCAAGTGCTTTATGCAAAACTCTGGTCTTAGTGAAACAGGTTTTATTGTTTTTAGTCAGTCATCTTAGAAGGTGTTAGCTGTGCAATGCAAATAGAGGAACTGGTGTGTATATATAGCCATGAGAACAAATGACTCTAGCAAGCCTGTCTGTTTTGAACTGGCTGTTTTTCCTCTTGCTCCTTTCGCCTCAGTTTGTGCTGTTCACTGCTGAAAGCCTGAGATGGTGTAACTTTCTTTTCTAGGAACTGGGAATCAGAGTTCCTCGGCCACTAGGACGCGGGCCAAGCAGGTTCATCCCCGAGGAGGAGGTATGCGGTTGCGAGTACACGGTGAACTGCCAGCTTTTAAGGGAACGTCTTCATGACCCACATCGTGGCATCTGAGTGCTTGCTGGTCAACAACATGTTTTACAGAGTTATTCAGAGTTAGTCATGCTTTGGCAGGGAGTTGAAGGGATTAGAAAGCTGTCAGAGTCACATTGATTTCTAGGATTTCATGATGCATTTTAAGCATCTGTATTTAATCAAAGTAAATCTGAGACTTGTTTTTGACTCGTCCTGCACCTGCTTATATTTAGATCTTGCTTAAGGTATGCTTGGAAACAGAGGTGCTCAGTCTTGCCCAGGTCCACAGGTTGGTAAGAATGCTATACTCTGGGACTTTTATATATATATATATATATGCAACTTTGCTTTTTTGTCATAAGAACTGTTTGCTGTTAACTGTGGTTCTCTTTTCATGAAATGAGCATAGTGTCGTAAGGAAACATTTTAGTGTCTGCTTGCAAGCTCTGGGCATTTAACAGCCTAAATCTGCTTCTGTGCCTAGATTCTTGTCAGGTCTGTAAGCAGCCTATCTGGACAGCCTTTAGCTGGAGCCCAGCCTTTGTTGTTCACCCCACCGTATAATGCCACTATTCTTCTCTTTTGCTACAAGTTTAAATCCATAACCCCCATCTTAGCAAGATTTAGTCTACTTCTAAGTGAAACAATACAGCCCTTTCATATTTTCCTTAACACCAGTTTATAGTTTATGTAACTGCAGTTTTTCCTCTTGTTTACACAGATTCTGCAGGTGGGGAGTGAAGATGCACAGATGCATGCTTTATTTGCAGATTCCTTTGCTGCTTTGGGTCGTTTGGATAACATTACATTAGTGATGGTTTTCCACCCACAGTATTTAGAAAGTTTCTTAAAGACTCAGCACTACCTTCTGCAAATGGATGGACCATTACCCCTCCACTATCGGCACTACATTGGAATAATGGTTTGTAAACATCCAGTGATAATTTCTCTCTGCCTGGTTTTATTAATTTCTTTAAGATGATTTATGTTTTTGACACAAGGATGAATACTTATCTATATTTATTTTGACTTGTAATAACATTCTTGCCATTTAGCTTCTATTTTTCCTGGTTTTAAATGAGTATGCTTTCAAATATAACAAAACAAACAAACAAACAAACAAAAAAACACTACATGTGGTTTTATACAATACTAAGAGCTATCCCTTTAAAAAAATTTAATGCGTGTGTGTGAGTGTGTGTATATGTATGAGAGTGTGATTGTGTGAGTGTATGTGAGAGAGTATGTGTGTATGCGTGAGAGAAAGTATGTGTGTGTGTGTGTGTATACCAGAAACAACTTGAAGAAGTTAGTTCTCTCCTTCCACCATGGGATTTGGCTCAGGTTGTCAGGCTTAGAGCCTTTATACTCTGAGCCATTGTGCTGCTCCAGAACCATTCTTTCTTAGAGGTTAAAGTAGAACATAAATTTAAGAAATGCCTCCCTCCCTCTCGTTTTCCCTTCCCCTCTCCCCCTCCCTGCTCTCTGGCAAAAGTCTTGTGTAGCCTAGACTGTCTTCAGATTTGCTGTATGTCTAATAGTGACCATTTCCTGGTCCTTCTGCCTCTACTTCCCAAATGCTAGGGTTATAGCATTTCTATGAAAAGTTTGCATTGACATATCTGGTGTTAAGCCCACTCAATTTGTGTATAATAATCTGTCATTTTATGATTGGCAGCTTAATTGAAGCTGCTTTTTAGTCAGAGGATCTGAAAGCTGGCATAGGAGCAACATTTCTAAAGATTTTTTTAAAGTAATATTTTATTCCCAAAAAATTTCTGAGATGTTTTCTGTGGTACATTAGAATCTTTTAATTTCTAAATAAAATATGTATTTCTGTAGTCTGGAAAACTTAATCCAAATAATCAAAAATCTATTTTGTATGTAAACAGATTTTGTCAAGGAAACAGATTTGTAATAGTTCAAACTTTTAACATCATTGCTTTTTTTTTTTCTTTTCTGTGAAGGCTGCAGCAAGGCACCAATGTTCCTACCTGGTAAATCTACATGTGAATGACTTCCTTCATGTTGGGGGGGATCCCAAGTGGCTCAATGGTTTAGAGAATGCTCCTCAAAAACTACAAAATTTAGGAGAGCTTAACAAAGTGTTAGCCCACAGGCCTTGGCTTATTACCAAAGAACACATTGAGGTATGTATATAGTGAAATAGCATGTCTGCAGTGTCACATTGTTAAAAATTGATAATGCTTTTTAGAAGCAGTTCTGGGTTTGTAAGAAAATTGGATAGAAGGTTGGGGTGTAGCTCAGTTTATACAGTGCTTGTCTAGCTTTCGTCATTTCCTAGCACTGCATAGGCTGAACTTGGTGGGACAAGCCTATCATTCCAGCCCTGGGGAGACAGAAGAAAGGAGGAAGACCCTAGGTTCAAAGTCACTGTCAGCTTCATAGCAAGTTTGAAGCTGGCCTTGGATACACAAGACTGAGTCTCAAAAAAACAAAGGAAAGAGAAAGGAGGAAAGGGAGAAAAGGAAGAGGAAGTCAGTTAGGGACTCCATAGACACACATTTTTGTGCTGTTATCATCTGGACTTGGTGTGCTGTATTTACTTGTAAGCAATGAGCCGATGTTGATGACCCTGCTGTTAACCGAAGTCCATACCTCTCACGGGGTTAGCTCTTTGTAAGCAACAGCGTGTTGCTGTTGCTGTACATCAGAAAATGGCACTCATTGTGTTGTGCTTTCTCCTGAGCCCCCACAGCTGCTGCCTTCTAATTATATCTACAATGTACCATTTCCAGAATGTTCTGTAGTTGGAACCATACAATACAGAACTTTGCGGGCCTGGCTTTCATTTAGCAATATGCATATGCGGTCACTTATTTTTACTTTTGAATTTTGTTTGTTTTCAGAGAAAGAACTGCTGTTTCTGTATTTTTTGTTTGTTTTTGGAGAGGATCTTGCTCTGTAGTCAAGGCTGGCTTGGAATTTGCTTTGTAGCTCAAGCTGGCCTTGAACTTTTGCTCTTCCTGCCCTCTGGAGTTCAGGAACTACAAATGCGAGCTACCTCATCAGGTTCTTATCTTTTTAATGACTTCATAGATTATTTATTTTTACTGCTGAATGACACTCCCATTCATCTACTTAAGGGGCCTCCTGATTAGTACCGTTTAAGAGGCCTGATAAATCACAGACACAGACATTTGAAACACAGGTGTCCAGTTTAACACAAACTCACTGCATTTTCTCTCTTAACATAGTAATGCATCCATTATGCAATATCTGAAACTCCGAAAATATTGTAAGCAAAATGGAATTATCTTGCATTTTTAAAACAATCATTTCAGAGATTTAAAGTGACACTGTATCAGTAGATGTTAAGCTTATATTCATAAATACATTGTTAATAAAATTTAACAAATTTTAGGTTTTATGTATCCTAAACTGTAATCTTAACCAGGCTTTGTAGAGTGTCTAGCCCTGTTTTTAGTCAATTTTTAAATAATAGGATGAACTCTGTTCTTGCCAACACATCTCAGATTAGCAATCCGTCCTTTCCCACCAGGGGCTTTTGAAGGCTGAGGAGCACAGCTGGTCTCTCGCGGAGCTGGTCCACGCGGTGGTCCTGCTCACACACTATCACTCTCTTGCCTCGTTCACGTTTGGCTGCGGAATCAGTCCAGAGATCCACTGTGACGGTGGGCACACTTTCAGACCTCCTTCTGTTAGTAACTACTGCATCTGTGACATTACGAATGGCAATCACAGCGTGGACGAGACGCAAGTCAGCTCAGCGGGAAACATTTCCGTAAGTATCTAAGGTTTGCTGTGGGAGTGTATAAAGACTAGTTACTGCAGCCGTCGCTAACTCTGTCCCCCGCTGGCCTACTGGGAAACCTGTCCTGTTAAGTCCATAAAGGCATTAACTGTCTTACAAGGATGAATTTGTTTCCACCTCCAATGTCCATCACTAGTCTAGACACTAAGGGATAAACTATGAGCCCTTCTTGGGTAGTTTACTCTCATTTCAGCTATGAGCCATAGGAGCCAACCAGGAACAGCTAATACTGACCATCTGCCGCTGTGACAAGGGAAGGCATAAAATAGTGTCACCCAGAGAGAGGAGATTTCTGGGCAGCAGCAGCGTTGCTGCTGCTGCTGCTGCTGCTGCTGCTGCTGCTGCTGCTGCTGCTTCCTTCTCCTCTTCTTCCTCCTCTTCTTCTTCCTCCTCCTCCTCCTTTTTCTCCTCCTCCTTCAGCAAAAGGCTGGCTTTTTAATTGTTTGGCTTTTAGAAAATTAAACCAACTTTGATCTCCTTTCTCCCCCCCCCCCCCCCTTTTTTATATTTACTTTTCTACAAATACAGAATCTTATGATACCAGCTGAATGTAGATTTGTTAAAATGCTGTAGTGGTTTGAATGAGAAAGGCACCAAATAGGTCTGATATTTAAAGGTTTGGTTCCTCGTTAGTGGAGCTGTTTGGGAAGCATTAGGAGGTGTGGCCTTGTTGGAGGAGGTGTGTCACTGGCGGTGGGCAGGCTTTGAGGTTTCAGAAGCCCATACCACTCATAGCAGTGCTCTCTGCCTAGTGCCTGCATGCCTGCTGCCGTGTCCCCAGCATGATGATAATGCACTAACCCTCTGAAGCTAGGCTTCAAAGGGTTAATTAATTAATTAATTCCCAGTTAAATGCATTCTTTTATAAGCTGCCGTGGTCGTGGTGTCTCTTCACAGCTATAGAACAGTAACTAAGACATTTTCACTTCTACCTTCTATCTTTTGCTTTGTTATTCCTTCAAAATCACTTGGCACAATTTAATTTTTCTTCATTAAAAACTGTGTGTGTGTGTGTGTGTGTGTGTGTGTGTGTGTGTGTGTGTGTGTGAAAGAACCACTTTGTGGAGTTGGTTCTTTTCTTCCCCCTTTACATCAGTTCCAGGGATGAACTTTTGGTCTCTAGGCGTTCCGTGTAAGCACCTTTACAAACTGAACCATTTTCAGTGGCTCACAAGCTGAATTTGTCTCCAAGTGACTTTAATTCTCACATACAATTGTTAAAATTCCTCGTATTCTTAATAGTGAGAGACTTTTATTTTGTACTTGAAAAGCCATAACATAAAAATAGCTCATGGTCACCGTGCACCATCAGCATGGGACGCAAGCCAGTGTGCACAGGTTGGCCGTCCTTGACTCATGTTTGCTGCTGGGCAGGTTATCACGCCTCTCTGAGCTGGGTTCTTTCATGTTTCCTATAAAACATAAAGTTCTTGTGATAAGGTCTTAAATATCCCTAAAGAGTTCAAATGCGCACTTCAGTGTTCAGCGTTTATCACTTAGATACAGTGAAATTAACAAATGAAGAATTATCACTTTTCCAGGATTGCCCACATCACAATTCTGACAGGTCTCAAGACTAAACAATAGGCTGCCTGTAGCTACCAATTCTTTCTCAAAGCTTGGAGATTCTACTGTGGCTGTGAGATTGTGTGTTGGTTGCGGGGTACTGAGAGTTGGCTTCTTACCTTTCCCTGGCCTTAGTACCAGACTAATGTACTGGATTTTCTTGCTTGTTTTATATTAAGAGATGACAGATAGAAGTTAAAAAACAAAAGTGGGGCTTTTATTTTTCTAACTCATCAGCTCCCTATACCCAGAGTTTAATTTGGATCTTCTAGAAGGTGTATAGTTTATACTGATGGCACTGGACAGTGAGCTGATAGAGCCTGTTCTTCAGGTGCCTATCATTTATACAACTCCACTTTTAGATTTAAAAAGCAAATTAAAAAGAAGTTCCATATACAGTATTAATGTTAACATTGAATTGCTACCAGGCATGGTAGGCATTCCTGTAATCCTAGCACTTGAGAGTAGGAAGATTGCAAATTGTTTGATTTGTTTGTTTGAAACAGTCTCTTTATGTAATCCCGTCCGTCCTGGAACTCACTGTGTAGAATAGGCCGGCCTTGAACTCACAGAAATCCAACTGCTTCCGCCTCCCTAGTTCTGGGATTAAAGACATTCACCACCACACCCAGCTTGGAGGGTTGCAAATGTGGCACCAGCTGGTGCTGCACATTGAATTCAAGGCTTTAGGTACATACTGAGACTTTCTCAGATGATGGCGGTGATGATGATGGCAACCTGTACTTTTTTAAAACCATCCCAACTTTTGCAGATTAGTTAAGTAGCAAAAGTCCCATACTTTGCTTTTCTTTTCCCTTCAAAAAATTTCAGGGTAATTTACCAAGAATTATCTTTCCTAAAGACAAATAAAATGTAAATAATTTATCTTAGTGAATTAGTGAACAAGATAGATCAATGAAGATGGTGAAGAATAGTCTGGTGCATAACTATAAACTCATCACAGGGGAAGTATATGCAAGAGGATCAGAAATCCAAGGACATCATGAGCTACATCGCAAGTTTGAGGCCGCTTTGACCTACATGAGACTTTATCGCAATAAAAATTAAGTAAAATAGTATATGTTGAGGTGTATCTTTTTGGCGCATTGTTTTGGGTTTGGTTATCTTCGAGCCTGAGAAAAGTGTGTGTCAGAAGAACTTGCAGTCATTATGGAAACACTTCCTATCATAGGTTACTAAAGAAAGGGCTTAGTGTGGGATACCTTAACATAGCATAATTTTACCATATGTCAGATAAAATATAAACATGGGCAATAGAGACTTCTTAATACAGAGTTGACAGTCATGGTAGCGCAGATCTGTTTGTTCCAGCAAATTAAGCAGGCCCCTCACCCTTAGAGATGCTTTTATTCTAGGGGAGAAAGCTCTAAGCCAGTATCATGTAAATATTACAAGTTGTGTTTGATGCACTAAGGAAAAGAAAGAGTTCTGTAAGAACTCTGTAAGAATGATGGGAACTGGGTGAAGAGGCCTAGTGTTCAAGACAGTAGGCTGACACCTGAAGGACCGGTGAGTGGAAACAGTAAGAGAAGTGAGGTCTCAGCACATGCATGGGTGTTGGGGATGTAGCTCAGGTGGCAGAGTGCGTCACAGACGCACACTTGTAATCCAGCACTCAGGAGGGGTGGGTCTGAGTATGAGGTAGACAGGGGAAAACATTACTTTTGTATTTGAACACTTGTATTTGAATTTTTAAATCTTCTTTTATGAAATGCGTCTTCCAAAGATTCGATCCAGGGTTTAGAGAAAGGATGCAGCAGTGTTAGGAGTGTAAATCGTTTCTCTGCTCGGCCATTTCGGTGCCGGCACCCCGAACTATAGATAAGGCACTGTGGTAGTCATCCGGCAAGTGACAGCTGCTGGCCCCATTCACGAGGTCAGCTGGCCAACTCCAGCCATGTGAGGACATGTCTCATTTTTAATTGGGAAACTGTATAAATAGAACAATTACTATTTTTAAAGTGACAGACATGTTGACAGTGTGTACTCTGTGTACTTATTTACCTGAGCAAGTAGAAACCAAATCTCAAATACTCCATTTTCAATTCTGCTTTAAACTGACAGTGTTAAGTTTTGATCTTCAAAATAGTGTAAGTAGTTACTATGTTATTTTATAATGTTAGAAAGCATAATTTCTTGAAATATTTTTCTCCTAAAATCTCTATACCCAGTAGGCTAAAACAGTTATATTTATTAATATACATTATTATAAGAAAATCTATTTTTATTATGTTCTGGTAAGATAAAGACCTTTATGAGACAGACTTAATGAAATTCCTAAATTTCATTCTGTGCCTGCCATATGTACAATGAATGTACTCTCTTCAGGTAAGTGATTCCATCTTTGAGGTCGAAGCCCTCATGGAAAAGATGAAGCAATTACAGGAATGTCGAGATGAGGAGGAGGCAAGCCAGGAGGAGATGGCATCACGGTTTGAAATAGAAAAGAGAGAGAGCATGTTTGTCTTCTCTTCAGGTAAGAACAAAGAACAACCTGAATATGGTCAATGCACTTTCTCTTAGAAGCCCAACTTTTTTACTTAGAGAATTTTAATACATTTTTAAAAGCAGACCCAAAGGCATGTCTTTTCAGAAAGGCTGGTGCATAGATTTTTTTCTACTTACAAGTAATTTTTAAGGAAGCCAACTGAGAAAAGGTAGGAAGTGCAAACAGCACAAGAGTAAGGGGTGGAGCCCGAGTCATTTAATATACCAATGTTCCCTGGTTTTCTTTTTTGTTTTTTTTTTTTTTTAGTTGTATTTTTGCGAAGGGGTAACAGGGTGTGTGCATGCCACAGCACGCCTGTGGAGGTCAGAGGACAACTGTGGGAAGGTGGTTCTTTCCTTCCACCACGTGGGTCCCCTAAACACAGGTTGTTGGAGTTGGCGGCAAGTGCCTTTACCCACTGAGCCATCTCACCAGCCCAGCGATGATTTAGTTATCTGAAATATTATCCAAAAGGGGGTATTCTTAACCTAGAATCCGTACTCTCGAGATCCTAAAACAGACAAAATTAGGGTAGAAAAACAGAGTTCAGGGTCAGTCAAAGAAGAAATGAAAGACATGCAGCATTCTGTGCGTGTTTATTTTACCACAGAGAATCGTGGTTTTACTCCATTCTGTAAGCAAGACTTTATTGTGGGGTTGGGTGGGTGGACTGCTCAGTGCACACAGAGCCTGGGAGCCATCCCCAGCGCCACGGAAACCGGTCATGGTGGCACAGGCCCGTAATCTCAGCGCTTGGGAGATGGAGGCAGGAAGAGAAAGACGTGCAGGGTAATCTAGCTACATGGTAGGGTTGAGGCCAGCCTGGGCTACCTGAGGTGATTTACGACTCATATCTGTTTTGGTTCATATTTATTATTTAGTGTCAAAAGTGGTTCATCTTACATTTGTTTATTGTGAGTAAAATGAATTACATCTTCTTTTCATAAAGGTTTTAAGAGTTTTTGTTTTTCTTTTAATCGTTTCAGATGATGATGAAGTTACACCAGCAAGAGACGTGTCTCGGCACTTTGAGGACACTAGTTATGGCTATAAGGACTTCTCCAGACACGGGGTGCATGTTCCTACCTTTCGTGTCCAGGTAAAATTGTAACGTGTGGAACCTAGCTGTTTAGAGACCTCTCAGAGTGATATGTGTGGAAACGCCACCTGGGCTCGAGGTCTGTATTCAGTGCTCAGCAGGTGCTGCCACAGAGTGGCAGCCGCTCTCGCCTCCAGGGCAGAACGAAAGCTGAGAATTAGTACTTACAACACTTACAGATTATCTTTTCTGCACTTAATCTTGTAAGGTTTTCAGTTCAGCAGCAGAATCATGCTGATGTTAAATTTATTGTTTAATAAATGTATGTGTTAAATTTATTGTTTAATATTTAAGTAAAATGTTAAACAGGTGAATTTCTACTGTCAACTTGCCCAATTATTGGTTATAGGCCAATGTTAGTAATAACTTTATTTATTAGAGTTAGGAGACTAGTTAAACTTTTAAGGCTTTTTTGCTTCTTTGCCCCCACCCAAACTAAAATGCTATTTGAAAGACAAAATTCGGGTACAAGGAAGAGTTGAGCTGTCATGAAATTCATATCGAAAGGATTACTATAAACCAAAAGGTCTCTGGAAAGAGATTAGAATGTAAAAGATTTGGGCTAATACACAAAGGGAAGCTGAGAATGTAGCCCAGCTCTGAATTGTTAGTCTCAGTTTAGGTATCCAGTGAAGGTTATAAAGAGACTGAATATTGAGAATTGCAAACAAGGCTTCCTGCTTCCATTGTTGGGAAGAAGCTTTACACTGGTTGAGAATGCCTCAAATGCCAGCACTGTGTACCGTAGGTTAAATGAGCGTGGTTTTGACCAAAAGTTAGAGCATAATGTCAAAAGATATGTTCTAGGAAAAAAGAAGAGAAAGGCAGAGGTAAGGGCTTCCAAGTTGTTTGGAGCAAAGAGGCATTGAGGAGACTGTATTAGAATTAGACTTGTTTAATAGGGTGAAAATCAGATTCGAGAGAAAGAAAGGAGGGATGAGTAATGGATTCACTGAACTGGATTTTTTATATTCATTTTGTAACATTTTCTTGTTATGTAGTTCAGGATGGTCTCTTTCTGTCTCCCTGCTTTATCTTTCCAAGTATTAGGATAATGGGCATCAGCTACCATAGGTGGCTTGGAAATTCACGAAATTTGAAGAACATTTCAATGTCTGCAGCTTGGAATATAGGAGAGGAACCGCAACCTGTTTTGCCGTAGGAGGATAGGTGGAAAGAGAGATAAAAATCTGTTGCTCCCTTCGTTCCTAAAGTAGATCAAATTACAATTCATGGCCTTTCTCATGCTGCAATATGAAAGTGAGAGTAGACTGTAGTGCTAGGGAAACTGAGGTTCAAAGTCAGCGGTCGGATCCCAGCTGCTGGTGATGTCATGCCCTGCCGCGCTGTGGACATGGAGCTGTTATGCCACATGTCATGTGTTCATAATCCCTGTCTTCCTTGTGTTTAGGACTACTGCTGGGAAGACCATGGTTATTCTCTGGTGAATCGTCTTTATCCAGATGTAGGCCAGTTAATTGACGAGAAGTTTCACATTGCTTACAATCTTACTTACAACACCATGGCAACGCACAAAGATGTCGATACCTCGATGCTCAGACGGGCTATCTGGAACTATATCCACTGCATGTTTGGGATTCGGTTAGTCGCCTTCCTTCCTTCCTTCCTTCCTTCCTTCCTTCCTTCCTTCCTTCCTTCCTTCCTTCCTTCCTTCCTTGGTGTGTGTGTTGGTGTGTTTGTTTTTTCAAGGTATGGTTTCTCTGTGTAGCCCTGGCTGTCCAGGACCTCACTCTGTAGACCAGGCTGGCCTCCTCCCAGGCATCTGCCTGCCTCTGCCTCCCAGAGTACTGAGATTACAGGCGTGTGCCATCACTGTCCAGCCTAGTCTGCTTGGTTAACATTTATAAAGCCATTTCTTCTACACAGAAGTATTCAGGCATGTACACATGTGCGCGCACACACACCCTCGGCTCATTCTTACAGTTCTTGAGCTTTGCAGGCCCACTTTGTTATAGTTCAGGCTTTCCCTTTCACCAGATGGACAGGTGAGGGCAGAGGGCGGGACTGACAGGTGCCAGCTGACTTCTGAGGGAAGAGCAGGCAGGATGCCCCAGCACACGGGAGGCAGCCGTGGTCACTGCGCATCTTCCTGTTGTCCTTTATCTCCCAGCGTTATTCACAGATCTCAGCCTGTGCTACGGCACTACCATGGAGCTCTCTCAGGGCCTGTTAGCTTTCCAACACGCTGTGTTCTATTGAGAATATAAACACTCAGTGCCTCCTCACACACAGATCCTACACTGTGTGGCTTTCTACCTGCTTTAGCCGAAAAATCTGCTTTCTCATATATTTTATCAGAGACCTCCAAGCTCTCTTTAATTTACACTGCTTGGGCCTTTAAAGTACATCCAGCCAGCTTTAAACTAATTTCTGCTAATCTGTGCCCAGGCGTTGGCCTCCTGGCCAAAGTTACAGAATGAGCTTTGCCAAGAACTTTCTCCGTTTTCCATTGAAAACACAGTAGGTAGCTGTCAAGCCTGTGTGATCTGAAACCCATGATTCAGTGGTCAGACATGCTGCAGGCAGGCATCTCCGTCCGCATCATTTAGAATGGACACGAGACCCCCACATACCAACCAGCCCTCATGTTCCATGCACCCCTGACGTTTTTCCTCATCTGACCCCAAAAGCTCCTTTTACACAAGTAAATTGCCATCTTATGGTGTGTAATAATACAAATTCTTCATTTCAGCACTCACTACACTTTTCAGAGCTGGTTTCAGCATGGCTGTGTATTTGTGAGTGAATGTGTGGGGTTCCAGCATGGCCATGTGTTCTGCACATAGCAGAGAGATCATACGTTGACAGGAGTCCTTTCCTGCGTCTTTTGACAGGTATGATGACTATGACTATGGTGAAATTAACCAGCTATTGGATCGTAGCTTTAAAGTTTATATCAAAACTGTTGTGTGCACTCCTGAGAAGGTTACCAAAAGAATGTATGATAGCTTCTGGAGGCAGTTCAAGCACTCTGAGAAGGTATGTGCTCACGGGGGCTGGGATACTCTGTACTTTACAGTCATTTTTATTCTCCTTTTCCCAAACCCACTCCATCATCTGTACAACCTGAGAAACATCATTCCAGAACAGCCATCTCAGGTACCCCTTAGAGAGAAGTGCAAGAATAGACGAGCAGGCTGGTCTGTCCTCAGAAATCCTGGCATAGCTGTCTCCGCCTAAGACAACCATTCTGCACAAGCTTTTGAAAACTAGGCTTAGGCAGAAATGGGTGGACACATATTTCTGGAAATTGATGGTTTGGCAGAGAATTGTAGAAGTCTGGCAAAAGAGTGAATAGATTTTTCTGAACTATAACAAATATCCAGGAAGACATGTGGCCAAATGTAAATAGAATAAAACATTTATCCCAAAGATGTCTGACATTGGTCTGACAAATGAAGACTTAAGTTCTTTGGTAGCACATAGAATATGCAGTTGGCCCTTCAAATGTAAGCAATGTATGCTTCCGTACATTGAACCGAGGATCACAGATATTGACAACAATTGTGTATGTGCCAAATCTGTGCAGTGGTTTTTACACGCATTTATATGTATTCTAAGTAGCAAGAGGCTGTGCACTGCTCGTGTGTGGAGTATGCTACTTAGTACAAGAGACTAGAACATCCAAGGGATTTGGTTATGCAAGGAGAATCCTGAAACCAGTTCATCACGGGACAAGTAATTGTACTTATTTGGTACCATTTTTTTAATTGAATGCACTGAAAAACTGATGTTTATGACCTGCCCTTACATGATGCTGTATTTTATACTCAGGTCCATGTTAATCTGCTTCTTATAGAAGCTAGGATGCAAGCAGAACTCCTATATGCTCTGAGAGCCATTACCCGCTATATGACCTGATGCCTTTCCTCCATTAAAGACTATCCTGGAATGAACAGCAAATGTAGGCTACAAGGGGATGGAACCAAGCCCCAGGACCAATGGTAGATAAAAAAGAATTCAGAAATCCGTTGTGCCATGATTCCTTAGTGTCTGCTCTTTTACTGTGGGATACCACTGCTCGTCTAGCAGTGAACGCTTGGCGGCTTCAGCATTAGAGCTGTGAAGAAAGGCTGCTGGTCACAGTGTTTGCTTTTTGACAGTACGAGATGCTGTAAACTTGTTTCAATACAGCAACTAGTAGTTCTCCAAATCCTGTTGCTCTGATGTAACCAGGTAACAGGCAGGAGCTGTAAAGGCCGGGACTTGGGTACTAAGTTCATACATAAGGAGTCTAGCAAGCTCAGTGCTGCTTTGGCTGGGGATAAGGTCGTGGCTGCTCCAGCTAAGCTACTCGTGATTAAAGTGAGCGCGGCTACTACCTGAGCCTACGCACATACTTTGTGTGGTTTTGAATTGAACTTGTACACGTTCTTTTTTTTTTTTTTTTTTCTTGCATCTAAAAAAGCATAGAATTATTACTCACAGCTCAGCAAAGACCTTGTTGCTGGTAACAGTTTTTTTTTTTTTTTTCCTTTCATTGTAGTTTTTAAAATTCAGTTATTGGATGATATTACAGTGGCATTCTTAAAAGATTTTCTCCAAAGAGCAATCTTAAAATAAAAGAGTGTGAGTTACAAGGCAAACAGGCTGTCTTTGAATGTGCTGTTTCCCAAGCATTCTCTGACCCTGGAGGGCAGCTCTCTGGTGCAGGGGTTTCGTCTCCAGCACCAACAATGTGGAAAACGTTGCTGCAGACTGCTGCACATCCCAGGGGCCATTCTTCCCCAGGTCCCCCCCCCCCCCGCTGACCCTGTGACCCTGTGCAGCTCCTGGAGGAGTAAAGCTGGAAAACATTTTAGTGAAGCTATCAAATTTGTATCTTGATTTACAAAAATGCTAACTTTGAGATACAAACAAGTTTGCAAAATTGTATTAAGTACTTTGTATTTTGGAACCGTGAATTGCTTTTGAAGTCTGTCAGTATTATTGGTATTTTTCAATAAAGACTAATTTTCTGCAGTTTGCTTTCTTAACTTGATAAGTCGCACTTTAGCTTTGCAGTTAGCACAATCGAGTTTCAGTTCCGACCCAGGGAGAGCCACATGTACACTGGAGTTGAAGAGCGGCCAGTGCTAGATGGCAAAACCATTCTGAAGCCTGATGATTTATATGGCACAGCAGTAGGGGTCTTCAAGGATGTTGTGTTAGTCCATTTTTCATCACTATAGCTCAATAGGGAGAACTCAATACTCTTTTTTAAAATTATTTATTTTTATTTTATATACATTGGTGTTTTGCCTGCCTGTGTATCAGTATGAGGGTACAGAATTCCTGGAGCTGGAGTTACAGACAGTGGTGGGCTGTCCTGTGGGTGCTGGGAATCGAACTTGGGTCTTCTGAAGGAACAGCCAGTGCTCCCAACAGCTGAGCCATCTCCCCTGGAACTGGATATTCTATAAAGGACAAAAGTCTACAACTAGACAGACACAAACTCCTTCAGCTCATGATGGAAAAGAAGACAAGAAACGAGCCAAGGAACCCATTCCTATATGAAAAGTTGCCATCCAGTGATCCAGTGCCATTGCCATGAACCAAACACTCCTCTGGCCCACCCTCAGACTACAGCAGATAAACACCCCTAGGAGGAGCTTAAAATCATCTTCAAGTGGGCTTATATTTAAGTGACTACACAGTGGCGCATAGGGATCTGTCCCTCTGACCCCAGCACTTGGGAGGTAGAGCCAGGCCAGTCAAGGCTTGAAGGTCATCCTTGGCTATGTATCGAGTTGGAGGGCAACTTGGGATTTCTCAAAAAGAAAAAATAATATAAATCTTTCTGCTTAGCCAGGATTCACATGCTCTTCCCAGCTCTCTGCAGGAGCCTCTACCAGCCTCTGCTTGCCCACAGCAGCACAAATGGGCCAGGTGAGTGCCTGCGCTGACAGTTGGCTTCTACTCCCTTGCCTATGCCTCCTGACTGATGTTCATGACGTCTGAAAAACAAAAAAAGCGTCTAGGAGCAGCTCTGAGGAGGAGAGTGCTCACCAGCAGATATTGGAGGGAGTGCTCAGTGTAGGAGAGTGTTCAGTAAGAATGCTCAGTGTAGGGGAGTGCTCATAGGAGGAGAGCTCAGGAGACCAGAATGAATGACCTTAGTCTACTGAAGTGTATCATCACGTGGAAATCAGAAGTTGAACATTTAGTGAGTCAGAGTGTGTAAAGAAATTGACAATGTCGTTGTTTCCTCAAAGCCTCCGGGGTTTCTCTAAACATACGGAATTTCTAATGTTTCTGGGATGTGTTGTTTTTCAAGTGCTCCCACGTGCTGGACTTACAGGCACGGGCTGCACCCCCAGGCTTCTGGGTAATTTTTAAAAAGTTTCCAGAATAACTGGGCAAAGCATACTCTTAAGGAATGGCAAAACTCTTTCCTTCATCAGGGGAAATTTTTTAAAAATATTCTTGGGTGTGGACCTAGGGTTCAGTTTTTGAAATCTGACTTTTTGGTAAAATTCTAGAGGATTTGTTGAGTCTTAAACCCAGGGTTCAGACATGGTAGGCAGGCACTGGAGAGGAACTTTTTCTGTGAGACCCGGGCTTGTTGAGAATCTCAGACTGTGAACAGGAATGGGCCCTCGTCATGTGTTTACCCTGTTTAGGTTTTGTTGTCTTTGGTTGGTTGGTTGGTTTTTGTTTGTTTTTGAGACAGGGTTTGTCTGTAGCCTTGGATGTCAGGTCACTTTGTAGAACTCAAACTCACAGAGATCCTCCTGCCTCTGTGTCCCAGAACACTGGGGTTACAGGCGTGTGTGTCTGTATACTCTGTAGCTTTAACTTCACATACAATATAGTGACACCGTAAACCAAAGGGCAGTCTAATAATTTAGCTATTCAGAGTTAATTTTGATACAGTCCCTGTATCAATAAATAAAACTTACCAGGAAAGCGCATTTCCCATCAAGATACTGTTTCATGAACTGTTTGCATTTTATATAGTATGTGTGGCGAAGGGCCACAGATTCCAGTGTCAGCAGTTAGCAGGATGGAGCTCCGTGTCTTCAAGATCTATCCTACAGAGGAGCTCACTCTGTGGCCCAGGTGACCTCCTGCCTCTGCCCCTTGCACACTGTGGGAGCTGGCATGCACTGAGCTCCCAGGCAAGAGACCAATGAACACTGCGTAGTAAGGGCGTTTTATGAGAAGCCTAATGGGGCAGGCGGGCACCAACAGATCCTTTTCCCAGCGCCGCACAGCATGAAGGGTAACCTGTCTCAGGACAGAACCAGCTTCACCCAGTGTCTGGCTAGTGTGAGTGCTGAGACTGGCTTTTGTCTTACGTGACTCATCACTGGCTGAGCTGCCGGCATTGTTTAAATGATACTGAAGCTGATGAAAACCGGTGAGGACCAGTGCACCAGAAGTTCCTGGTTCTGCAGGCAGATGGCAGGTCAGCAGGAGACCGCAGGACAGCAGCAGGGAAACTGCCAGGCTCCTAAAGCAGGGTGGGGGGGAGCATCAGACAGTTCTAAGAGCCACATACACTGGGTTGAAAGTGACACACAAGCATTTTCCTGGACGACCGACAGATTCCAGAACCAGGCCAAGTGATGGAGGTTTTCTGCACAAAGCACTAAGGTGGAAACCCTGCTGCAAAGGTTGAAGTCCCAGCTGCTGAAGTGGAAGTCCCACATTACCAGAAAGCCCGGAGCTCAGTGCAAAATGGCAGACTGGCTTTGTCATCGAGGGTTCCTCTTCTTTCCCTGGGGAATCCTAGACCCCACACTTTCTACCTGAAGAATGTCACATAGTCCTTAGGGAAATTAGAGGTCCAACTCCCTGTCTCCCAATAGAACCTGTACAGGAAGCACCTGGGGTTCCTAGAATGTCTCCTTGCGAATGAGGCATCTCTGTGTACCTTAGCCCTTCAGCCAATGACATTCACCCACCCTGGATATTCTCACCCCTCCCCAAAGTCCTATCTAACCCTCCTTCACCCCAAATAAAATTGATCTGAGCCCCCACAGCTGGTCCTGGAAGGTTATTTCCGTGTGTGCTCATGGGCCACCGAACCCCCAGTTCATCTCTTCACTCCATTGTTGCTGAGAACCAGTGGCAGTGACCCCGGGAATGGAGGAGAACCACACAAAGCCGGTTTATAAACAGTGAGAAAGGTGGCCTTTCTATCAAAGACCCCAATCTCAACAAAAACCCACAAAGCGTGCAAAGGAATAGAGAACCATGTGTCAAACATCTTCAGAACACTAAAGAAACAGTTCTCAGGTTGGGCTGTTCAGGCATGCCTTTTATCCTACCACTTAGGAGGCAGATCTCTAAGGGTTCAAGGCCTCCCTGGTCTATACAGTGAGTTCCAGGTCAACCAGAACTCCGTAGTCAGTCCCTGTCTAACAAAGGAGAGAAACATAGCTGTCTTGTCAGGTAAGTAAATTTCTTCTCAGGAACTGAAATGTGCTTTCAAGATGCTTAATGAGCTACAGTGTTCATAGACAACTGTGTAAGATCAGGAAAATGACTTAAATGTCTATGGAAAAGAACTGCATCAAAGAGCCAGATTGCGGAACTGAAAAAGAGCAAAGTTCATGAAGGGCTTAGTGGCCCAGGCCTGCAAACCCACTGCTAGGGGGTTGATGCAAAAGTACCCTAAATAAGTTTGAGGAGTGGAAAATTCCCAAGAGGGATTCCTTCAATAGCACACCTCATCAGGCAGGTGAAAACTGCTGAATATGGAGAACAGGTCACTTGATGCCAGGTCAGAGGAACAAAAGGATAATAAAAAAAATGAAGGACTTAAAAGATTTGTGAGCACGATGCAGCCAGAATACACAAGGGGCTTGTTTGTTGGTTTGATGGTACCAAGGCCTTCTCTCCCCAGTCTCTCTGCTCCACCCTCGACCAGAGGAGCCTCTGCATAACCCCTCCTCCAATAAAGCTCCGTGAGATCTGTCCCATGGCATGACTTGGCGGCTTCAGTCACTTAGATCATAGCAACAGTAAATCAAGAAATTCAGTGAACTACATGTAGAATAAAGCCACAGACGCAGTAAGGAAGCAGGGGGCTCGAACACCTGTATACTCAAACTATGGAGCCCTGAAGCAGCGAGAGAAGAATCACCTCATCGTCCACAGAGGTGTCAGACTTGTAGGTTTCCAGCCGAAACCATCCAGGGTAACCTACAGAGATGACACACTGAAAGTACCAAGAGAAAACACCTGTCAACCAAGAATATAACCATCAGCGGCTTCCAAAGGTGAAAAGAAAGTTATAACTTTCTCAGATAAGCCCAAGGTGTGGGGATTTGTTACCATTAGACCAGCCCTACAAAGAAAGCCTTCATCTGGAAGAAAAACCATAGTATAGGCAACAACGGAATCTTCAAGGCGAAGCCACATGAAATCAAAGTTCATCAGTAAAAGGTGAATATGAACAGGTTTATGAGAAAGTAACTTGTATTATGTAATTCTGGTATTTATACTCACTAATTCTGATATAGAATTCAAAAATGACAAAGACACGAAAATAAAAATCTATATAAATGGATATCAATAAAAATGTAATATGTAAATAGAGGTACAGGTAGGGCCATAAAGACAAAATTTTTATATGTTAGAGTTGTTACCAGTTAAAAATAGATTGTTAAACTATTACAATGTTTTGTGTGTTTCCCATGGTAACCACAAAGAAAGCAAAGCTAGAGTATATATAGAAGGAAATGAACAGATAACAAAAGTATGTCACTAAAATAAAAGGTGAAACAAAAGAAAGCAAGAGAGAAAAGGGGGTCAAAGGGCTTCAAGATATAGAAAGGACTTACTTAAGAATAGTAAGTCCTTTCCCATAATTACGTCAACTATAGACAGATCTGTAGACACAGACTGGCCAAATATATATTTTTAAAGCATCTAGATGCTGCATATAAGGGACTATATTTATATATAAGGAGATACATATTAATAGTCCGTGAAAATGGAAGCCAGAGTACAGAGATAGTTATACTATACTA